TTGGGGTGCGGATTGGTTGTTCGCCTTTCCATGGACTGTCCGGTATTTAGATTTCTGCCTTCCCCTTTTAAATTTGACTTTCCACTTTCAATTGTACATTTATTCTTCAAATTTTTGTGCTGATCTTCGAAACGTTTCCAAAGCAGATATTATATGGCGAGCTTACTTGACAATTTCTTTCTTGTCAAATTCTTCATCACCACAAGTTGATATACATTCAGATTTAGTTAAAAACTTGTAGCGAATAGGTGTAAAATTGTTGTATTATATTCAGAACGAAGATGCAATTCTCTTATGTTGATTAATTTGTCAACAATATTGGTCATGAATTATGTTCTCTTAAATGATAAAAAAACAAAAAAAAAAACTGACTCGAAATTTCTGCTAAACCTCTGAAAACCAAATACCGACGTGATAGATACCATGATCATAATAGTTTACTTTATTTGAGGGAGATATAACTGTTACTATTTAATATGTCGTTTAAATTCCATTCGATGTCGAATAAGATGCACATCCGTGATATAGATTACTGATGTTTACTCTAAAATCATTAATTTTCTTTCGGAATTCTTTTAATTTAGCAGGGACTTTTTTAGTTGAGTTTTTCGCAATTTCGTCCCACTTTGTTTTGTTGTTTTCGCGTAAAAACAAAAATCCAACTATATGTGCTCAACCGTGAAACGAAAACAATGTATAGTCACAAAAAGTGACAAATTTCAGTGTAAGCCTATGAAAACTCGATGAAAGATTTTCTTTTGTAATGATTAGGTACTGTTGAGAAAAATATTCAGTGCCGCCAAATAAGCAAGGAGATATTAAATTTTCACTTCTAGTTTCTTCATTTGTATGCAACAAAATGTTTCTACATTCAAATCTTGAATTAGATAATTATTAATGATCACTTACCCTGTAGTCAACATACAAGGAGGTGGGGACAACGTGCTTGAAAAGTCTATGGTATACAATGCTTGTCGGCAGGCTGGGGACTCATCACTACTTATGTTCCGCAGTGTCTTCATCCGCAACTATGTTGCCAAGCACCGCCAGTAGCCTGACCACATTGTGGAGATCTTCCGGCAGACATGCTCGTCAGACATGCTCGTCAGACATGCTCGGCAGAAATGCTCGACAGACATGCTCGACAGACATGCTCGTCAGGCATGCTCGTCAGACATGCTCGTCAGACATGCTCGTCAGACATGCGCGTCAGACATGCTCGGCAGACATGCTCGTCAGACATGCTCGGCAGACATGCTCGTCAGACATGCTCGTCAGACATGCTCGTCAGACATGCTCGTCAGACATGCGCGTCACACATGCTCGTCAGACATGCTCGTCAGACATGCTCGTCAGACATTCTCGGCAGACATGCTCGGCAGACAGGCTCGGCAGACATGCTCGTCAGACATGCTCGGCAGACATGCTCGTCAGACATACTCGGCAGACACGATAATAGTCAGTGTACACATGAAACATGGAAAATGATGAAGCCCCACGTTGAGAGCCAAATTTAGTCGGATCGTTCGTTACGGCGGTTCAGGTTAACGTGGCTCAGATCACAGTAAGAAGTGTTTATTTCAGACAGACAGAGATACACGTTCAACTAAAACCATTTCGTGGCATGAGCAGCGTGACACGCTTCAGAGCTCCGCAAGCGTGCAAATCTCCCGAAACGTAGCTTTCGAATCAACCAGCCGCTGACCGAAGACACCTCGTCAGTTAGCGGGAACTCCGCTAACTAAACATGAAAACAAAACCAAATTTTATTAAACAGAGAAATTTAAAAAAGAGATAAATTCTAAACTCATTATTCGATGTTAAGCTGGCGTGAGAGGCTAAATACACAATAGAAAAATGTTTAATTCTACCCTACAACAGTATCGTTCGGTGAAGTCTGTAGTAAGCTTCAGTTCCGGTATCTTCGTCGCAGAAGAAAGAATTGAAGTTTGTATGCAAATCAAACGCAATTCTCATACGAGAGGATTCATGTGAAATCAATCGACCCCATCAATGAGCGAATATTAAATAAATTCTAATCTAAATTTGTTACTTGAATAATTGTCTCGTAGTACATGGAATAATCTTTCAGAAAAAATATGTGAATGTTTTTGCAACTAAGCATTGGATTAATGTTTGTGACGTTCTACACATTCATTGAGCTATTATTATTATTTTGAAAGTAGACTTTCAATGAATTCGTCGTCATATGATCCTCGGGTTTGGTTGAGACCCAATTTCATTTGCGGTAGAAATCTATTAATCAAGGTTGATTTAATCAGAAACATCGAATCCACCTAGCAGAAATGAATGGAGCCGCTGTGCAGATAAAAAATCAACAAGTATCTCGGGTTTGTGTTAAGTCCATTTCATTAAAATTTATGAAGAAAACCACCTGAAAACAACCATAAAACAAGAAATTTTTCACACCTGCATAGGGGCTTTTATGATTCCAGATTTGCAGGTTCATTCGTATCAGAATTAGGCAATTAACCGTTAACAGCCGCAGAGTAATTTGGATTTCCTTCAAACTCGAGAAGTTTGTAAATTTTACATCTGCGCCATGGCTGTATCCATGTCAGGTATGCGGGTGAAGTCGTTCTCAAGTTTGACTAATGTCGTTTTGCTGCAAATGAACTTCGATCGTCACCACACTAAAATTACGTTAATTTTTATCTGGAGAGTGACTGTTATAGTTTCATGTATAAGGGTTCAATAAATTAAATATCAGGTAACTCACCGATAACTGCCTCAAATAAATTTGGATCTCTACATAATTCGAGAAATGAGTTGATTTCACGTGAGCGCAGTAGCTGTAATAATTCAAGATATACATGTTTTAAATGGTTATTGAATTACTTGAATAACCGCTGCTTGCTGCGAACGTTTCTGGATCTCAACCAAATTCGAGAAATATGTTGATTTCACACAAGCGCGGTGGCTGTAGTAATTTCAGCTGTGTGAGCCTTTCATGTGTTCACAGATTTTTTTCTGATTATTTTATGTAAGCCCTACCTATATAGAGTCTTCGTTTAACATTATCTTAAACTTTGGTGTTAATCTAATTTGCATACTCTCATTTCTCAACCAATTAATTAAAAATAAATTGGTCCTAATAAGTGAATTGCTCAATAGTGACTACATACCCCCGCGTTTTGAGGCTATATTTTGATTTTTGATGTTTTCTTTTTTTGTGTAAGACAACTCAGACATTGAAATAAGTTTAATAAAATTAGTCATAACGAAAAGACCGCAGTTAAGTACATGAAAGGAGACGAGGGAAGCAGTGAGTAGTATACTAATAATAATACTAATACCATACAATATTATACAGATCAGTTGAATTTGCTACAGATAAGCTTGGAATCAGTTCTACAGTTCCTGGCATCAATTATTAAATAATTAAATATATTATTTTCATTGGATCCTGTTAAATTTTATTTTCGATTACTCTCATTAATTTGCAGCAACGATATTTAATTTCATCCATTTACTTCGCCAATACAATGATTTTTAATTTAGGTAAAAAAGTAGCTGATAAATGCTCTGTTATCAGAAACTAAAATATTATAATAAGCTTTCAATATTGTTCATTAAAAATTTAGAAAATGTTGTAGAACATATAGCACGAACAGAATATCTCATCTCATACGCTAACTTTTATTATTTCATACTATTCAGTATTGAATACATACATTCAAATCAGTACTTCATAGAATATTTCACCGAATTGACACTTCTCCCAGCTCGACTGTAAACTCGCCTGCGGACTCCAACGCATAACCTAACTTTACGCTCAACTGAACCACTGCTTCGATACTGAACAGATCTGCTTGAAATTTTGAATCTAAGTAGGTATTATCAATGCACTGTGCCTGAAACAATTACAAATTTTTATACTTCTTTGTTTTCAATTAAAACGAAAAACACCATTTATAGGCAGCCGAACCACTCATGAGTCCTGCAATACTGAACGGATCTGTTTGAAATTTGAAATACAAGTAGTTATGAGTAATGCGCTATGTTCAGGAATTGTCAAAAGAAGAAAAATTTCCAATATTTCAAATTAAGGTTTGAAAACTCACACATAAAGGCAATAATTTCGAAGAAACGTATGGTGTTTACACATTGGTTGCCTTCTCGACTGTCAGTGATGTGTTTCTGCCTAGTCCCGAGTATTGATAGATCCTCAAAAGTTGTTTAAATTCTAAAATAGGCCTCGCAGGGCCGATAATTCCGAATCAATCATATTGCCGTGATGATGTGATTGTGATCAATATGTTATTGAGAGGTAAATTAAAACAGGTATATGCGTATATCCTATAGGAGTTGGGACGGCTGCCATGCAGCCTGCCAGTCCCTCACTAATCTATACAAGTGAAGGACGCAATCAAAGAAAGAAAATTAGGCAAAATAGCATTGAAATGTTAAATTCTTGCATGCAAAATTGGAATTTGCATATCACAGAAATGTTTGGAAAAGTTGGTTTAAAGTTTCGAATCTTCAAAACAAATGGAATATTGTGGCACTATTGTGCACTTGTGTTAACAATTAGATAGCAGGCAGGCAATATATTTTGCTAGAATGTGGCACATTCCAGCAAATTGTATCAATGCTACCACTACTCATATTGCAACATCTTAGCTGACTGTTGAGACGGTTATTAAATTGGTCCTAGGAGCTCTAGATATTTATTATGTAGCAATAAAAAATCTCCACAATGTGTCTTGCAATGGGCACGAAAGCTTCCTCAAACGATGAAGAATGGTTTTACCAAAATTCTTTATCAGCTTTTGATGGAAAATCATCTCTACAAACGATCAAAATGTGTTCAGTTGAGATGAAAGGACGCTGAAAGGTCAAATCTTTGGTTGGTTGATTTTTAATAGGTTTTTATAACTTTCAACTTCTGCAACGTTCTTAATAAATGCAATCTAAACTAAATAAGTAAAAATGATATTGTAAATAATGACTGCTCGAAAATACTCCTGGCCNAGCTATTATTGTTCGGGCAAATTTTGTACTTTCTTGAGACGAAGTGTCTCGCTTCTGCGTTCAGCTCTGGGCCTGAGGCAGTGCAGAATGTGCTGAGGGTCGACTTTTTCCGTGGTCCGACAGCCTGCGCAGAAGATATAATTAATATCATAGACAGTTTTCAAAATTATAACGATATATATTGTTCTCATGAATACCTATTTTATATCTTCAAATTATGCTACGTATATTCTTTTTCAATACAAAATCGTTTTTTATTCTGATTGAAAACAATTATTTCCTAATTGTTTCGGAAAAATTACGTTCCTTTCATACGTTTTTGACAATTGCTTCCATTTTATACAGTTTTGAAACGATGCATGAACGTTAAACATAAAATTCTGTCTACGGATACATTTATTTATTAAAATCCCTTGTTTGCTTGAATCGCAAGTTAAGCAGGAATTTTAAAAACAAAGACAATGCCACAAAAATTTACCATATCTTTATAAGAGAAAACGTTTCGGAGTCCAGCTCCATCGTCTTTTCATAACACGAAATTCTGTCCAGAAAAAGTTCAGTCCTAGAAACACAAATAAATCAATTAGTATAGTAAAATGCACTGTCAGGTTTCAAAACGGAAAATAAATAAGTAAGACATGAAGACTGGCGTTAATTTCATGTCTTATATATTTATTTTCCGTTTTGAAACCTGACAGTGCATTTTACTTTACTGATTGATTTATTTGTGTTTCTAGGACTGAACTTTTTCAGAACAGAATTTTGTGTTATGAACTGATGACGGAGCTGGACACCGAAACGTTTTCTCTTAAAAGATATGGTGAATTTTTGTGGTATTGTCTTTGCTTTTCAATTCCTACATTTATTTGCCGTCGTCAATGCTATTCGTACCTAAATGCTCCGTAAAAAAAATTGCCGTTGCTGGTCGAATGGTTGACATTGGACCTCGAATTCGGCACGTACGCGCGTTAAAGTTCACCACAAGCACTCCTTTGACAACTCAAAGTTTCGTCTGCATCTCTGTGGTACTCACATCTCCCTTATAATTACCCAATGTCGCCTGCATCTCTGTGGTACTCACATCTCCCTTAATTACCCAATGTCGCCTGCATCTCTGTGGTACTCACATCTCCCTTAATTACCCAATGTCGCCTGCATCTCTGTGGTACTCACATCTCCCTTATTCACTCAAGTGTCGTCAATTATTGACTCTCAGGATTCTCAACAAATGCCACGAAGGCGTCAAAGTTTCACATTTTGTGTTCTCACATGCGGTGATGAACAATCTCAATTCCCCTTACGGAATGTCATAAATCTAAATCAATTTGTGGTCTTTTTGTTGAGGTATTGATATGAAAATTTGAGGCGCTGCAGTGAACCATTCATTCAATAATAAATTATGTTACCACGAATTCTAGGGCAATTCTACACAGAGCGTCGCAGTCATTCAGGGAGTGCAGTAAAATGAATGACGATGCCTATTTGCCGTTCTAAATTCCGTCCCATAGATTGAGATGTCGAGCAAAATTACGTTGGAGAATAACCAAAAGGTAAAAGAAAATATTGTAGTAAGTTATAGAAACGATTTGACTATCAACAGGCGGTTAAGTCGTTATAATAATAAATTCGCTATTAGGCAGAAATGTCAATGCGCGTGCGTTCTGATAAAATTAACGAGTGGCAGAAGTGTGAGGTGTTCACAATTTCCGAGTTGACATCGTTAACTTGGAACTCATAAATGGTTATAACATTTCGGATTTTGATTAGATGAAATGAAATCGTGAGATTTTTGCAATTATATCGTGCATCGAAATGATCAGTAATCTGGACTGAATTTAGAACGACTAAAAGCAAATATGTTTTAGCAGAGAACCGTTTTTTTTTATTGGATTGGAATTATGTGAGTTTTGGTTTACGTTTTGAATCAAGCCACCAGAATTAGAACACCGTCAGTTTAAATCTATTCTCTAATATTATACTTTTCAAGTATTTTTACTTCACTTGAATCGTAGGGATTTTACAATAACCAGTAATCATATTTGAAATTCTTCTATTTTTGATTATGTGCATCAACTTGTTTCTGTTAAATAATTGTTTTACAAACTGAACTTCAAATAACCAATGCAATTCATTCATTTATGAGGCACATGGTAATCTAGCGACACTATATAATATAGCTATTGATGCAGTTATTAGGTTTCAAATTAGAGACGATAGAAGAATGTGAATAGTGGATGGCAAAGGAAATGGACGGAAGTGAATTGATGTAAGGAAGTAGTGGAAGGATGGGGCAGAAGATGGAGAGGTATGGAAGTATGGAAATATTGAATAGAAGTGGAAATGAATGAAAGCATGCATGGAAGCAGTAGACGGTAGAGGATAGAAGTATTACTGTATGTCCAGACTGACAGGATTGCACAAACAGAACCCACCGACGGCGTAGGTGACGACCACGCCGACGAGGAGGCAGAGAAGAAGCCCCACGGGGGAATACAGCGTGTAGGAGATGTTGTAGAGAGGGTGCAGGCTGCTGCTGCGCAAAAAATGTTACACCGTGAAGCATTCATTTATTTCACTGCTATGAATATGTGTGTAATAGCTTGAATATTGGTATCACCCAGGGACTTGTTTTACAAACAAATATCGCGCCACACTGCCATCTATTACCAATGTGGCAGGATTGGTGAAAATCTGATATCGTGGAAGGTACAATACAAGTTTTAAAATATCAACACAATTGTAACGACGAAGGTACTTGACTTTCGATTATCTAATTAGGAATATCAGAAGAATTTAATATGAGCATAGAAATTTCCATTTGAACACACATAGACTTTCAATCAATGAATGGTGGCTGGACTTGGAGAGCGCAGACCTGCATAAGGTACGGGCTGACGCTGGGGCACCGAACAGACGTGCTTGGCAACGCTATCAATTGCGAATAATTTCTGTGCATAATGCGGACTGCTCACGGATGTGAGATATAAAAAAAACACCAACTCATTTCATGATATTAGCAGCTAATGAACATCTAGTGACAAAGTTTATTTTCAATTAAAATATTGGATATAAAAATTTTCCGAAGCATATTGAGCACTACAACAAGCGTACAATCGTGCCATACTGTGGAATATAAATTACCGTATAGTTAATTTCTGTTTTACATTCTCATGATGACGAATTAAATGTACCAGCCAATGCGACCATTTCTAGTAAACTGAATTATCGAGAATTTTTTACAGGAGGAAACAAGACTCGGGATAAACTCCTTTTCGTTTGGCTCGGATGGATGATCGGATGGATGAACTCCTTTTCGTTTGGCTCGGATTGGCAGCGATGCGAGAAAACTTATTGTGAGTTCGCTTACTGTGATCGAATCTTTTACGTTAGTCACCAATTACCTATCCATGTGTGTTCGATTACGTAAATATTCAAATTTTTTTCATTTCCCAATGATAAGGAAATAATTTTTTTAAAGTTGTATTCTTCGCAGCGGTCAAACCTACATATGAGAGTTCATGCATCTGTTTTCAGGAACGTTAACATCAATTGAATTTGATCGGTTCAATTTATCTGTAAATTATGCAAAGACTTCGGCGCCAGATTTAACTGCTCAAAGTTGCAATAATGGACTCAATTCCCCGCCCCCTGACCGTCAGCCGCAAACGGCAGGGCAGTACAGACCGCTATCCTCGGAAGAGTTCATTAAATAATAAAGAAAAAGGGGAACGAATCTTCGTTAACAATTATGCATGATTATGAAAAGATTACCTATAGTCATAATTATATATATGAATGTTCAACTCTCAATGTTGAGTCATTGTATATTTAAATGGCAGAGCATTGAAATACTTTACGTTTGTAATGGTCCACTGGTCGCATTGAGGGAAGATGTTGCAGCGGTGACGTTGAGGCCCTCCGAGCACAAGTGCTTATCGAGCGCCAAGAGTGGCGCGCTGGTGCCGTAGATTTGCCCGCCGATGCCCAGACAAAACATGAAAACCTGGCCACACGAGAGGAACCAATTTTTATTTCATAAATGTAATAAAACTCATAGAATGAGTTTTATTACATTACAAAACTCATTCTCTATAATTCGAAAGCCTACGTTACATTTTTCCAACTTTCTTAGTACAAACTAAATTATTTTCTAACATGAACAGCGCATCTTGACGTTATCGAGACTCTGACTTCACCCGTCTAGCAGTGCTCAGCGATCACAAGTGTTAGACATACATAACTAGCATGGCGTTGGCCGCTATAGTAGCTCATTACTATCAAAAAATACCAAAACTATTTAATACTAGTTAAACTCCGCTATCAAACTACGAGCAATGAATACATTTGAGTTGAGGAATATCTCGACAGAAAAGTTTGTTAGATATTTCGCTGACTTCCTAAGTTAAGGTTGTGTGAAGTATGCAACATGAGTCATACGGTATTCTTATAATGGATTTGAATATAACATGCTATTAAACATGAACTTGAATAATCCACCTCTCAGTCTACACCATCAAGATAAATTTGTCAATAAAATAAAAGTCGGGCTGTAGATTGGTTCGATTTTTCAAAAAATGACCTGAGGAATTGCCTGAAATGATTATTATGGCACCTTTAGCGAACTTGAGAAGATCGAACGCAGCACGAACTCCTCAACTTAGTCTCGGCACGAGCATCTGATACGCCATGTTTCATGTATAGCACAACTGTCCCGGTATTTTAATGGAAGCAGTAGACGGTAGAGGATAGAAGTATTGCTGTATGTCCAGACTGACAGGATTGCACAAACGGAACCCACCGACGGCGTAGGTGACGACCACGCCGACGAGGAGGCAGAGAAGAAGCCCCACGGGGGAATACAGCGTGTAGGAGATGTTGTAGAGCGGGTGCAGGCTGCTGCTGCGCAAAAAATGTTTCACCGTGAAGCATTCATTTATTTCACTGCGATGAATATATGTGTAGTGGCTTGCACATTAGAATCACTCAGGGACTTGTTTTACAAACAAATATCGAGCCACACTGCCATCTATTACCAATGTGGCAGGATTGGGGACAACAAATATGGTGGTAGGTACAATACAAGTTTTAAAATATCAACACAATAGTGACAACGAAAGTACTTGACTTTCGATTATCTAATTAGGAATATCAGAGGAATCTTATATGAACATAGAAATTCCTTAATGACCACACATAGACTTTCAAAAGAGGAATGGTGGCTGGACTTGGAGAGCGCAGACCTGCATAATCTACACGGGCTGAAGCTGGAGCACCGAACGCGCGTGCGTGGCAACGCTATCAATTGCGAATAATTTCTGTGCATAATACGGACTGCTCACGGAGGTGGGATATAAAAAATACACTAACTCATTTCATGATATTAGCAGCTAATGAACATCTAGTGACAAAATTTATTTTCAATTAAAATATGGAACATCACTCTAGCTATTTTTCCGAAGCCTATTGTGCACTACAACAAGCGTGCAATCGTGTCATGCTGTGAAACATAAATTATTATACATTAGTGTGGAGCATAAATAATTATGCTGTGGAACATAAATTTTTAAATTATTATAGTTAATTTCTGTTTTACATTCGCATGATGACGAATTAAATATAACGGGCAATACGACCATTTCGAGTGACCTGAATTATCGAGAATTTTTTACAGGAGGAAACAGGACTCGGGATAAACTCCTTTTCGTTTGGCTCGGATGGATAACCAGCGATTTGAGAAAACTCGTTGTGAGTTCGCTTACTGTGATCAAATATTTTACGTGAGTCATCAATTACTTATGAATGTAAGTTCGATTACGTACATAAGAAAATATTCAAATTTTTTCATTTCCTTTTGTTAAAGAATTAATGTTATTTTTTTCCAAGTTGTATTCTTCCCAGCAGTCAAAACAACATGAGAGCTCATGTATCTGTTGTCAGGAACATCAATATCGTTTGATCGGTTCAATTTATCTGCAAATCATGCAAGGACTTTGGCGCCATATTTAAATGCTCAATGTTGCAATATTTGACTTGACCTCCCGCCCCATATATGACCATCTGCCGCCACCGCCAGGGCAGTACAGACCACTCCCATCGCAAGAGTTCATTAAATAATAAAGAATTAGGTTATCAAATCTTCGTTCATAATTTTCTATTATTATGATAAGGTTACCATTAAGTCATAATTATGTATGTAAATGTTCAGTTCTCATTGTTGATTCATTGTATTATTTAAATGGCAGAGCATTGAAATACTTTACGTTTGTAATGGTCCACTGGTCACATTGAGGGAAGATGTTGCAGCGGTGACGTTGAGGCCCTCCGAGCACAAGTGCTTATCGAGCGCCAAGAGTGGCGCGCTGCTGCCGTAGATTTGCCCGCCGATGCCCAGCCAAAACATGAAAACCTGGCCGCACGAGGAGGAACAAATTTTTATTTCATAAATGTAGCAAAATTCATGCTATGTGCGTATAATTCAAAAGCCTACATTACATTTTTCCAACTTTCTTAGTACAAACTAATTTATTTTCTAACATGAACAGCGCATCTTGACGTTATCGAGACACTGACTCCACCCGACTAGCAGTGCTCAGCGATCACATGTGTAAGACATAACTCGCATGGCGCGTGCAGCTATAATAGCTCATTAATATCACAAAATACCAAAACTATTAATACTAGTTAAACTCCGCTGTCAAATTACGAGCAATTAATACATTTGAGTTGAGGAATATCTCGACAGAAAAGTTTGTTAGATATTTCGCTGACTTCCTAAGTTAAGATTGTGTGAAGTATGCAACATATGAGTCATACGATATTCTTATGGATTTGAATATAACATGATATTAAACATGAATTGAATAATTCACCTCTCAGTCTACACCATCAAGATAAACTTATCAATAAAATAAAAGTTGGGCTGTAGATTGGTTCGATTTTTCAAAAAATGACCCGAGGAATTGCCTGAAATGATTATTATGGCATCTTTAGCGAACTTGAGAAGATCGAACGCAGCACGAACTCCTCAACTCAGTCTCGGCACGAGCTTCTGATGCGCCATGTTTCATGGATAGCACAACTGTCTCGGTATTTATTGATGCACCATGTTTCATCAACAGCTTCACAACTGTCTCGGTATTTTATTGTTGCACCATGTTTCATGAATAGCTTCACAACTGTCTCGGTATTTTATTGAAGCGCCATGTTTCATGAATAGCTTCACAACTGTCTCGGTATTTTCTTGATGCGCCATGTTTCATCAACAGCTTCACAACTGTCCCGGTATTTTATTGATGCACCATGTTTCATCAACAGCTTCACAACTGTCTCGGTATTATATTGTTATAACATATTTCATGAATAGCTTAACAATTATCTCCGTATTTTATGCTCACCGCAGAGACCACGAAGCCCGTTATGGCTCCAGTTTTGCCACAGGCCGGCACCGCGAGCCCCAGGACGAAGACTCCGGCGATGGGTCCCGCCACGAGGCTGCTGATGGACAGATTTGGAAATTTTTTGATCGGTACGTTGAGGACATGACAAAATGACTGCTAGCTGCATCGAAGTAACCATGCACGTCAATTTTGGAGGCTAAATCTTACATTTTCATTGGAATCGCGTTGAAATACATTCGTTGTTGTTATTGTAGGCAAGGTTTCCTCGTGTTTCTTTTCATCGGTTTGAATTAATCGAGTTTCGAGGCTCGGTATCAAAGTCTGTTGCTTTGCGAGGCCTACTGCATGGCCAGTGGATACTTTTCGCAAAGTCAGCGCCAATGTAAAGTATTAAAAAGTATTCAAAATTAATCCAACTCTCCAGGAAACGCGCTCCATAGCTTTTAAACCTTAACAAAAAGCGCTTCAGATTTTCGCGATAGTAGCCAATCTTCATTTCATTATTGTTCACTGATAATCGCATAAAACTAATTGCATAATAATTACTCATGGATATGAAAGAGTTTTTCATCTAAAATATAATAGTTTTACTATTATTAATAGTATTAAGTAATAGTACTAACAGATACCTATAATTTTTAGGGGAATCGAGAATTTAAATCTGATCATTATCTTGCGTTATCGTTATTTTGTGGATCATTTTGTCTGATCAATAGATTTTGTCATATTAATATACACTAATAATATTGAATTATAAGCCACGCGTGGTAGTATGTCGTCAACAGTGTGACTCACTGAGCAGTTTGTTGAACACTGTCTTGAAATTTTCAGACGCCTTCTGGAAGAATTGTAAGTCAGATAGGAAGTCCACCCACAGCATCGTGGGCACCGAGTTCAGCACTGATGAGATGGAGCTGCCCACACGATAATGAGGGATAGAGAGGACCATCTCATCATGATGAGCTAGGAGAACAGAAGGTGATCAGGATTGATGATGTGAGGATTGATGCTTGAGATAAATGGTGGCAACATATAATTTAAAGGCGGCTACACCCTGATAGATTGGTGAAAAATGCCATTACATTTTTCATAAACAACCCTTTTTGATTTTAGTGCATAATGTCATGTGTTTGCTTAACCAGGGGAAATAGGGAATAATTAAGTTTTATTAATTTCAATTGTGTTTAAAAGACCTCTGAGGTGCAGTTGTGCAGAATTTAACTTGCTTTTAACGAATTAATGTTTTTAGGGCGAGCTGACGAGACGAAATATACTTTTAAAGTGAAGTAATAATCCGTACAACTATTTAGCAAAACTCCTTGCGCAAACAGTGACTGCAAGGGTAATAAGCTGCTAGTCGTGGAAGTTGCAGAATAAAACATTAGACCCGATCATGGCCTCGTCAACGCTGAAGCCACAAATTAATAAGAGCAGCGATGCCCCGAATGTTGCGTGGGTACCTGAGAGTGCCGCTGAAGAGGCATGCTACGAAGAGCCCCGGCACACCCGTCATGTACCCCAGCCGCTGCATGACGTAGTACGGCACGATCTGGTCGGCGCGGGTGATCAGGCCTAGGGCCAGAGGGTCACATCCGTAGTACGCAGCGTAGATGCCAATGCCCCCCAAGAACAAAATTGTTAGTATTGCCCACAAACCAACGGTGCTCGTCAGCATCACCCTGAAACAAAATGTTCACAATAGATGTACGAGTGATCGTTGGTTAGCCTTCTTGTGGAAGTAGAGAAATAAACGCAGGAGAAATAAGTTATTAATCACGGTTGATTCCGCTTATCGTCAAATGCCCTCATTGTTAGAAAAATAATCCAGTCTTTTCGCCCCGTTTCAAGTTACTAGCACAAATTCAAATTTAAATCCAACGTTATTTGCCGTGCAGAATTGTTGCCCTAATGAATATTGGAAATTACTAATTCTTCTGTACTGAGACTTTAAATCCGACATTTGCATGAACTTGCTGTCTGCTGTTAGAAATGCAACCAAGAAAATTTTCATTTCCAGGTGAAATACACATTTTTTCGTATCCTTACTACCACCGTAGCACCTACTTGTTGCTGTCAGCAGTGAAACAAAAATTTCAAGTATCCTGGTGAAATGCCCAATTTTTCTATTGCTATCCTCATCGCGAGTTTGCAAGACTTATTCCTCCATGTAGACTATGATGCCAGCTGATACTCCTGCTTAGAAGCAAGATTAAAAAATATAAAGAAGCATTCAATTTGTCGACTTTCCCTCGGCCAACAATGCGACCGGCCATTGATTTGCTGGACCGCATTTTGCTGCATTTGCCTCACGCTCTGGTATTGCCGACGGAGGTCTGCGTGGCGATGCGCTGCAGTGTGGCTTGGGAGAAAGAGAAGCCGTAGCCGAAGTTGACAACCCCCATGATGAAGGTGTTCACGGCCGTGTGACGCTCATAAAGACCAAAATTGAAGCTGAAATGAGGAGATAAAGATGAGATGTAATTGAAATTAAGGTAAATTCAAGTACTACTTTTACCAGCCAGAGTCGTGAAAAAGATTTCATGCAATTTTCATGACGGTGGATGTCCATAATCACTGCTTTCGTATTTCTTCAACGCAAAATGCTACCTTTAATAATTATTGTGTTGGTGGCCACTCACAAACGTGTTGATGTTAGACTCACTAACACACACTTTATTTAAGCTATACTTACAAATATTAATATTCAGATAAACTACATTAAGTGGCGAGATTGCTATGGCGCCTCAAGTGAGGGCTCAACTTGCCTTGATATTAATCTCTCAACCCTTATTGAAAGGCACAATTTTACGTTACAATAATACCCAGTTTAGGTACAATTGTGTCCATGTAATCCGACAATGATTGAAGAAATGATTGAACTTTTGAATTAAACATTTTCATTGCTTTCCACTTCTCACGTCTTAAATACAGTAATAAATGGCGGCGAAACGCGATGCGTCTAAAAGTGAAACATGTGAAGTATATATGTCAAGAAAAATCACCAGAACGTAATTAGTGTTAAAACGACGTTGATCACAAGTTAATATTATTAAAATAACGTTTAATCAACGTTGTTCCAACGTCGGATTTCACGAGAATTTACTTTAGTTTTGAATGCAATTATTCTCACGTTTCTAAAGTTTTACGAATTTTGCCTTGCGTGAAAATTCGCATGTTTCTAAGTTTTTAAAATAAACAGGAAATTATTGATATTCTAAAGAAATTTAGAATGTAAAGCAGTAAACAATTCAAGAAGACATTACCCTTAGCGGGCAGCTTGGCCTGACGCCCTCACTTGAAGACGTCGAGCCTGCCGTGCTCCCCAGCCACGCGCCAGACACTACCCAGCCCCCCCGCCGAGTGCAGGGAACCCACGGTGGTCATGACCACACCCACCAGGATGATGGTCGCCTGGAACACGTCCGTCCACACCACCGCCTTCATCCCGCCCTTCAACCACAATAATATTGTGTTACACATGTCCTCGTGAGTCATTTTATGAGCCATCAGTTGAACATGTTGACGGTCTAAACGCATGTCTATGATACTTGCTCTACTGATACGTTAAACTTTTCATATCTCAATTACACCTTCAATAATTATTCTTTGGCAAATACCCTAAGCTCACTTTCTGTGACTATGCTTATCTCCGTTGTATGTTACGACGGAATGCGCATCATCGATAACGATCAAATTCGCTGTCCCAAAAGCACGATAAAAAAATACTGGAAAGACATTTTTCCATGAAAGATATTGTATAGTTACATCCGTGCTCATAGTGAGCAGGTAAATAATATTGATATTTTGTTACATCAAAAGCTATTTATGAGATCCGAATCAGGCAGATTATTACCGTTTCGCCTTCAGATGAGATAATATTTTAAAAACTATAGCTGTTGCCCACCCTGCATGAACAGAAGTATTGAGAAGACCCTTCACTGGGAAATAAGTTTATCGATGCTAGTGAAGGAAAGTACTCAGTAGTAAGTACCGAGAAGCAAACACTCTCACAAAAGCAGAGTAGAAGGCGACGAAAGTTCTCACAAAAGCAGAGTAGAAGGCGACGAAAGTTCTCACAAAAGCAGAGTAGAAGGTGACGAAAGTTCTCACAAAAGCAGAGTAGAAGGTGACGATGAGACCGATGACGATGACGTAAGTGTCTGAGGAGACGGGAGTGACGGCGGACATGGCGAGGGTTGGGGCGTAGAGGCAGATGCCGAGGTACAGCAGATCCTTGACCACCGACGCCAGCAGCACGGCGCGCTTCAGCGCCCTGCTCCTGAACCGTCGCTCCACGTACTCAACCACAATATATTATTGATAATATCTATATTATTATTATACTATATTACAATATTGTTATAGAGGTAGATATAATATACAGTCACTCTTACTTACAGTGACACATTATTCTTTACGCTTCGCATAGTCACACTTATGTCAGACACTTCTTATGATCACTACGCATCATAGCAGTGACAATGAGTACCTACTCACTTAGTATCACACTACTGACACTTAGTCACACACGTACCACACATAGGCTAGTCACGCGCTGCTCACTTGATGCTTAAAAAAGACAAAATTGCTACGCCTCACGACGATCAACTCGCTGCATCAACCTAAATATGCTGAACTTGATTTTTAAAGTTACATATGAATATTTTACGTATAGCATTTTCAGATAGCTTACTCGAATTTGCATAAAATTTTTGGAAATTTAATTGTAAAAAACTAGGTAGGGTGCGCCATATATCAGAAACTCAGAATATAAATCTGAACTGAAAATAAAAACTATGTATATGGCCTTAATTTGGAAATTAAATAGACGAAGCCATTCTGAGATTGCTCAATCTAAGTTTACGACAGACACCGTGGGCACCTTTCAAAATAATTTAGACGTTTACCTGTGCTGGCGTATTCGGTAACAGGCAATATGAACTTGATGAGAATGGAATGTATTCACAAGTCAACTGCTTTGGTTAACACGTTGTGAGTTTTGGGGGTTAAAACCAACCTCATTTATGCTGCGCATGCGCAGAGGGTAAAAGACCGGCAGGACAACGAACGTTGTGCCCAACATGGCCACCACGATGCCAGGGACCATCCAGTAAAGCTGCAGACCGTGACCGTAGGCCTCGGCGACGTAGCCTGGTGGAGGAAAATGTTGACAACATCTTTTGTTTTCGGAGGAAGATGTAGTAGCTAACTACACTGAGCAACGCTTGCCCTACATCACGTGTTGATGCTGGATAATAGAGCAGAGCAGCATTGTGTCCTCTATAACACTACACTGAGCAANGCAGGACAACGAACGTTGTGCCCAACATGGCCACCACGATGCCAGGGACCATCCAGTAAAGCTGCAGACCGTGACCGTAGGCCTCGGCGACGTAGCCTGGTGGAGGAAAATGTTGACAACATCTTTTGTTTTCGGAGGAAGATGTAGTAGCTAACGACACTGAGCAACGCTTGCTCCTACATCACGTGTTGATGCTGGATAATAGAGCAGAGCAGCATTGTGTCCTCTCGAACACTACGCTTGTACTCCTTCCACCTACTCGCCTTTGCTGCTACCAGCCTATTCTTCTTCGTTTCATCACTATTCTCTTTCTCTCCTATCTCATTATCCTAATCTCATGCCCTGCTATTCTCCTTCTCTCCTACTCTTCTTCTCTCATACTCTTTTTCCCTAACACTCCTCAAGTCGAAAACAAAGTTATAATCATCTCTTGTATAAAAAAACTGGTTCTTAAAATTAGTGAAAAAATTCTACTTAACATGCATGCATTTAATTTAGGGCGGTACAGACTTCGGACAAATGCTTCAGATTTGATCCAGTTAATTAGTGGTCAAAACACGAGACATTTCGCTGAATAAATATTATTTTCATATCTGTCGTGTATTTTACTTCGTATTTTATGCCTAATATTGTTATTCCAGACTCCTTCTCAATTGAGGAGATATCGCGGCTTCTGGGTCGCCCTGAAGCTGCATCGTGACTCGTGAGTCAAGGCGAGCGTGTGGGCGCCATGGAGGCTCGTGCGATGTGTTAGCTCGTGGGTGTTGGCAATCGTGGATTTGGGCAATTTTTTGTGACCAAGTTGGTACAAATTAGAGCACTAAATGTTAAGCCTCTATTATCCGTTGTACATCAATTTCTATTCGATTGTAGTATTAATATATCACATTATCCTTGAGCAGAATAATGCCAAACTACACAAAGATCATGGTGAGTGTGGACATTCTGTTGTGAGACATTTTGAGCGCTGCTATTCTCCCGCGCTCAATGTTTATAATTATTTGAAATACCTAAAGAAAGACGTACATGATAAAAATCGGCTTGAGTTCAACGTAGCAGGTAATTGTTGTTTGTAAAGTTCATGATATTTGAAACGTGAAGGTCGCGTGTAAATGAGCAAGCGCGGCGCTGTCCACTCACATCTTCGGATATTCAATGTTGGCGCCAGGAAATATCCCGAGCACTGCGTTCACTGTCGAGAAAGTTGTTCCTGTTGTCAGCGACAACTTTTTGCGCAAAATTAAATGTAGAGATAGTCTAGAACTTGAGTTCCAACAGGATCAGTACGTTATGATTTAATGAAGCTACACAGAATTATGGTGGATTCCAACTTCAATACAAAAGTCCTAACATCTTGCTCAGTCTTCCACTTCATAATTTGTAGCATATAAATAAATAAAACTTTCACTTAAATGCATTTATGACCTTCACTTGTGAGCGACGACGCGCATGCAGCTTTCAGGCTCCACTCTGCCGCCCCCTTCTTAGCTGCGCCGCCCCCCTCAGGCGCAGTGCCTGTATACGCTCTGCGTAACCTGGATGCGCGCCCTTATACCTGTCTCTTATACANCAATCAATGCGCATTGTGCCTGACGCTCCTTATGACGCGCGTATACATCAATGCGCATTGTGCCTGACGCTCCATGCGCATTATACCAGTACAAATACTAACCATCATTTACCGTACTATATATTAGCGTCGTGTGTAGGCACTACTAGCCACAGATGCACCCATCCTTCACCTGAGGTTATATGCATCATAATTGCACAGTCAGCAATCATAAGTTGTATTGGCCGTCACTAATAGCCGCGTGTACAATTAAGAACCTTATGTAAATAAATCCGTGTTGTTCGCTACAAGAACCAGGAGGCAGATAATTTTTTTCTCACCCAGTATAGAGATTGAAGAAATGAACGAAGCGATGAGCGAGAGCGCTACAGGCCACGGCGACAGCGACCGACTTGCCAGCAGGAAATCCTCTGTGTTTTTATTGCCTTTGACTCCATGGTAAACTCCAATGGCAAGTGACGCCGCAAGCATCACACTGAATATGACGTAGTCCACGACTGTGAAGTGCGCCAGCTCCATTGAATGTGCCGACATTTTGTTTCGTGTCGTACGAATGAAAGTCGTAAGTGGTTCAAGTGGGCTATTCACATGACAATTAATATTATGGCTTCCATCAATTTATTATTAAGCTAACACTTTACGCGTATAATGGAGAGCACAAATAAGTTAATTTTATGCAATCTGTCATATTTTTGTAATCTATGCTATTGAATGAATAAAGTCATTGAATAGTTAATTCAATGGCATTTCTTAAAAAAAATTAAATCTTCTATTTTTAATTATTTGTCTTCTAGAATTCTCTAAATAACAGCCAAGTGTAGGTAAGATGTATAGATGATTTATTATTATTCAGGGACCACTATGACATTAAATCAAACAGAACGTGTTTAGCTACAATAATACAATTGTGTATTATAGAGTCATCGTGTAATTTCATAACTCCACTCAGATGCTCTAAATGGAATCCGTGATCAAGAAGGTCGATGCAAACTACGAGATCTAACATTGAAATAATTCAATAGACCGATGACAATGCACTATGAAGTGCATTCCAGCAGTGACTCATCTATATATTTATTATGATATATATCATTAAAAATCAATTGGCGTTCATGTATTCGAAAAAATCTATATAGGTATTCAAAGTTAACAGCAAAATTTTCCTACTCAATTGATTTTAGCTATGATGAAATTGCGAGTATAGCAACATTCCCTCGACCATAAATAAATAAATATTTACTCGTAAGAATTGATATCAACATTTCATTTCAAATGGGCATCACAATTTTTTCGGCACCACTTGTCCACAATTTATTTTCAAGCAATTGATTTGCTCAATTGCAGTAGCAGTTCAAACGTCGACAATATATATAGTCGCACGACCTTTAACAACGCAGGAGTCAACAAACTTCACTCAATTCCCATTTAGAGTCATCAAAAACTCTTCAGAATTATTCAATTCCACATTCTATTACCTTCTTCACTGATGATGCATTATTTGCACTCCTAAATGATAACGCTACTGCCTTTCGCTCTGTATTTTACGCAGCAGAGCAGCACGAGCTCTGCTCACCTCGCTCCGAAGTGTACAAGTGAGCGGAGCAGCCACCTGCTCTGCTCATAATGTTCCAAACCATACAGCTGCTTCAACATGCATCGCCTTGACCCGCATCACTGATGGTTAACAGCTGTCGAGGACGCAGCTGCAGCCCTGCATGGCTGCCTTCCAGCCAATGCAGTTATACAGGCAGGAATGCAATTAAAAGAGCGGCCGATGACGCGCGCGTGGATGTGTTTACTGGTGAACGATTGTATCATGGGGGGAATTTTATAAACAATCGCTAGCTTTTTGTTTCCTTTATTCGTAGAGTGGATTTAATTTTTTGTAGGAAGCTCCGGTGCAGCCTTGTGTTGCCTTGTTGCCTCTCGCCCTGCATACGTACCATTTGGGACCCTCAGCTGCAAATATGTAGCTCGATGTCTATTATTGTCTCTACTAGCTGATAAAAGCCTTATATTAGTTGAATTGTCAATAATGAATGCGTTAGTAATTATTTCATTAAGTAAGAGTACTAATTTCTGTCAACCGAGGGCCGTCAGACCACTTGTACGAGTATGATAACATTTGCCATTTTATCTATTGTTTGGGGAAATTTGTTAAGAGTTTAATTTTCCATGAACACGAAGAAGTGCGCGTGCCACTTAGTAGTGTCACTGACCAGGAATCACTGATCTAAAGTCTAGACACTATAGAAGATCAGGAAAATAATATCTATTATGATAAAGAGCTTTCGCCCTGGAGACAAACCTTGAACTTGGGCGTCCAGTTGTGCGCTGCAGAGATGAAGGACTTGCAGATCACAGCCGTGCATTGCTTTTACCATCGCAGCAATGATTTACCGCGCGCACCTCTTTACTTATGAAGCTGAGGTGGCTCGATCATTCCTCCAAGGTGGGGGACATCACTGATGGTTAACAGCTGTCGAGGACGCAGCTGCAGCCCTGCATGGCAGCCTTCCAGCCAATGCATTTACAGGCAGGAATGCAATTAAAAGAGCGGCCGACGACGCTCGCGTGGATGTGTTTACTGGTGAACGATTGTATCATGGGGGGAATTTTAGAAACAATCGCTAGCTGCTTGTTTTAATATTTATAGAGTGGATTTGATTTTTGAATCAGACTCAGTAGCAGCCTTGTGTTGCTGTACCGCATGAAGCTCTTGTACTCTTGCCATGCATGTACCATTTGGGACTCTCCGCATATCAGCTGCAAATGGATTCATGTCTATTATTGGCTATATTAGTTGATTACAGCCTTATATTAGTTGAATTGTCAACAATAATTATAAATAATGCGTTAATAATAAGCTCATTACGTAAGCGTACTATTTTCATTCAACATAAGGCCGATCAAACCAGGTGTACGAGTATGGTAACATTTGTCAGATTATTTATTATTTATAAAATTTGTTAACAGTTTCGGGAATTAAAAAATTACCTGTTACATATCTTCCATGAACACGAAGAAGTGCGCGTGCCACTTAGTGGTGTCACTGACCAGGAATCACTGATCTAAAGTCTAGACACTAGAAGATCAGGAAAATAATATCTATTATGATGAAGAACTTTCGCCCTGGAGACAAACCTTGAACTTGGGCGTCCAGTTGTGCGCTGCAGAGATGAAAGACTTGCAGATCACAGCCGTGCATTGCTTTTACCATCGCAGGAATGATTTACCGCGCGCACCTCTTTACTTATGAAGCTGAGGTGGCTCGATCATTCCTCCAAGGTGGGGGGGGGGTTTCTTGTATTTTTTAATGAGATTTGGATGCGGTGTGCAGAGTTGGGTGAGGTGTGTAGAGTTGGGTGAGGTGTACAGAGTTGGGTAAGGTGTGCAGAATTGGTGAGGCGTGCTGAGTTGGCGAGGAAGTCGAGGGATTTTCCTTGTGACTATACATATAGAACAGTTTTTTGCTGGTCCTGGAGTAGGAAGTAAGCAATTCAGAAGAGACATCGAGTTGAAGGCAACATTGCTCTCCCCATCTACCATGCGAGTCTCTGTGAACATGATTGGTAGAAAACGCATGAACATCTTCAAATAAAGGTCATTCAATTTCTTCGAAGTAAGTGACACTGAATAGTGTGTGTGACACTATAGGCGTTTGTGTATGTTAATAGTTTAAATTGTATAGACTTTTAACCTGTAAGTTGTTTGTATTCGGAAGTCCCTAAAATTCAGCCCTTGCGCTGTTCCTAACGAGTGAAACATTTTTGCGGATGTCAAGTGGATGTAACTTTAATTGAAGCTTGTTCATAAGACTTACTTTATAAGACCGGAAGTTTATATAATCTTGGATTGTAAGAGTTCGGGCGAAATTAATTTCACTTCATTGAGTTCAAAGGGATCCTCTGTTTAAAAAAATGCCTTTTTCGTTTTCTTAGCTCATCTCTAGAAGCTCTTTATCAGATTTATTTATTTTTTAAATCATAGGATAAAAAGTAGAAGGGGAGAGAAAAAGAGGAAGGTCCTTCCCCAAAGATTTGAAAACAAAAACAAAAAATCTCCAGAGTCTATGATTTTATGGGTTGTATATACCGTATAATACTATTTTTTCCAATATTTCAATTCTTAAACTAAATGAGTTTGATATTAGATTTACAGAACTTTACATTTCACTTTTCATTTCATAAAATTTTCATTTCATAAAATTCATACGAACAAAATGAGCATGTATTATAATATTTGAGGTGTGTTCTAGAGTGAGTATCGGTTTTTAATTAATTACACCGCCGCAGTGCTGCGCTTCCGTTCAGCGCATGCGCGCCGTCTAACTACATCTTTTGGAAGCCATGAACGCCATTGCGGAACCATCCGGTCGAGTCTACACCTGTTACGTGATTTTAAAATGACTTCACCTTATGAGAATCCCGTCGACTAACAAGTTCTTTCGTTTTATTGTTCTCAAGGCTTTAAATCCGTAGAAATTCATCGCCAAATCAGTGAAGTGTATGTTGAAAACATTATGACTTATGAGCGGCGGAATGGTGCGGAAATGGGTTAGGACCTTTAAAGATACATACATACGTTCATGATGAGGAAAGAATTAAGAAAACTTCAAACATTCTCGATGATCTGATTCAAAAAGTGGGCTGTAAAGTGAAAGAGGACAGAGATGATTTACGATTCTGTCCTTTTATAGCTGAGAAGTTTTCTGCTGTCACCTGAAGTGTTCTTACTAAATTGTCCAATCAGGGGGCAAGCTTCTTGGACGTTGGCTTACGAAAGCATGTCCCAAGATGCGAGGAATGCCTCAATATTAATGGGAATTGAGTAGAAAAGTATAGTTAAGTATGGCCTTTCAAGTGAATAATAATATTTGGAAAAATTTACTTTTTTTATGTCAATCCGGAACTTATTTTAAAAATAAGTCTCGTATTTTCCATTGTTTATGAAGTTGCAAAAATATATGCCAGTTAATAACGTTTTTTTTGTACCCAGATGCTCAGCTAGTGAATTTGTGTGAATTTATATTATTCAATTTATTCATGATTGGCTTTCGCTATCTTTGATTAGAATATGTTAAAGTAGTTAAATTTTAATTTTTTTTTTCAAATGGCTAAATTCACAACCTAATTACTGCCTGAATGTTTAAGAAGTTTCGCAACACCAAGCACCAAACAATCACTACAGATATCACCATTGCTATCACCATTGGAATTTACCTCACCATCACAGGCGAAGCAAATCCAAGATGATGCATCCCTGGCGTTGCCGAGACAATCGTAGTGAAGTAAAATTCTCCTGAAGCTTTCGAAGTCTTGCGTTGAATGACAAGGCCTAAGAAGACTCGAGGACTTCAAGGACGTATCGATGTTCTAACCTAGCGAAATTATATTAATGGAAATTTCAGGGCCATATGAAGTATGAAATTAGGGCCATACGAATTTTCACGCCAAGCGTAATGTTTCCAGGCTTCCATGAACATCACCAACACAACATGAACAGACTGGCGAGTATGGACTGGCCCCACCAGCACCAGCAGTTCCATCATGGTGTAAATCCTATGAACATGGGCCCAATGGTCGCAACACATTCACACGGCGCCTTTTTTCGATACATGAGACAGCCAATAAAGCAGGAGCTGTCATGTATGTGGCTAGAACAAGACCAACCTTCACCAAAGAAGCCTTGCAATAAAACTTTTGGAAGCATGCACGAAATTGTGACACATATAACAGTTGAACATGTTGGTGGGCCTGAGTGTTCTTCTCATGCGTGTTTCTGGCAAAATTGTCCTCGGAACGGCAGATCTTTCAAAGCAAAGTACAAACTTGTGAACCATATTAGCTAGAGTACATACTGGAGAGAAACCCTTTCCGTGCCCTTTTCCAGGATGCGGAAAAGTTTTCGCACGATCGGAGAACTTGAAAATTCACAAGAGAACCCACACAGGAGAGAAGCCCTTCAAGTGCGAGTACGAAGGATGTGATCGGAGATTCGCCAATTCATCAGACCGAAAAAAACATTCGCACGTGCACACCTCCGACAAACCGTACACCTGCAAAGTCCGGGGTTGTGATATGTCTTATACGCATCCATCGTCCCTCAGACAACATATGAAAGTCCACGGCAAGAGTCCGCGGCCCTCCGGCAGCGGATACGAAAGAGATGACTCCACAACAACCACAGAAACATCAGCGTCAAATTCCAACATTCCAAGCTCCTTAACGCAATCATCGGGTCACTGCCAGACCAATATTATTGTCAGTCGGGAATGTTCGGTAAATAACGCTATTCCTACAGTACCTATTGCTGGTAGTAACAACCATAACACCAACACAGCGCATAACGCAAATCTAAGTGAGTGGTACGTGTGTCAATGCGCTGCTGGAATGCCCATCCCGCCGAGCAACGAACACAGTCAAATTCCACCCTTGCCTGGAACAATTTTGCCCCCGTCGGCATTTTACTAGCATTTGGCCTTAGTCTTCATTTGAAATTATCTTTGCAGTGTCAAAGGCAGGCTGTCTGTAGGTGCTTGGCTATCGAGAATCCTGCTATATTTGGATGTCGCTAGAGCTCTATGATCAATGACTGTCGTTTTGAAGAGAAAAGTTGCCCTCAATTCATTGCGTGGGCATCGGAAATACCCACAATTCTTGCATTAATTACACCTTTACGAGTTAACAGTTCTCATACATTATTTTTTTATAAAACCTTTGCAAATACTCATAAATTGTTCATCATTTCTCTTTGATTTTGCTAATTTTTATTTCCGACTTTGAATCAAACCGTATTCCTTCTCTACGCACACTATTGGTCCAACTCACTCGTTGTTTACCGCACAGTTAACCAATGTAATTAATTAATGTACTTAATGACGAAAGAAATAAATAAAAAAATTTCTGAACCTCAGCCTGAGTTAATCTTTTTAGTACAATTATTGATAGATTATTTTATTATCAACGAGACAGATATTGGATTGTCTAAATTCAATTTAGTGTGAAAGTAATTTTTTTATGGCCATAAAACTCAAAATTATTCTCTTCATGATTTCTTTGAAGTTCTCGTCACTTTCTTCGTCTTCGTCGCAACGAGAAGTTGAAATATCGAGTGGACTTGTTTTTATATTTTACCAGCGACACATGATGGTGTCACGCGTGCATTATTAGACATTGTAGCTTTTGTAGGGTGGTAAGCAAATGGTTTTTTAGTGTATAAACGACGTGTACATTCTCATTGAACATATGGTACGTAAATAAACTACATAATTCTCGTAACTTCGACGCTGAAACTAAAATAGTTGACTCCGTGTACAAAATTGTTTCGAATTTATGTTCAACTCGCATTGAAAGTGGGTTGAATCTAGAATATTTGTTGTGTTTATATCCGTCACAAGTTCTATAATTGACAGACTTGATCAATGATCAAGTCAGGTTGGTTCCACAAAAAACTTTTCCTCTGTAAATTACATGGAATGCCTGTATAATTAAAAATAAACTTCTAGATTTTAGGATGAAATGAATTTTCTTCGATAAACATTTCAAATAAAGAATTTTCCCTTGTTGCTGATTCCTTAAAGCACAATGAGTTTCAAAATTTATATGAACAGCAAGGTTTATCTCGATGAAATATTTTACATGCGACATCAGACTCAGGGTCATTAATAATATGGTGCACATTCCCTTTTTGAATCGTTGCAAAAATAAATTGGTTAAGAATTTTTGTTATTTTTCTCGGTTGATATTCACGATACACTTGCTCCCGGTGGTCTATATATGGAAGCTCATTAATTTAATAGTCATTATATGGTAAAGCTCAATTGACAGTAATTGGTAGCTGTTTGGGATAGTTTTTTTCAAAACTAGAACAAGTTATGAACAGATGTTCCTAGAGTATGAGGTATTAAATATAACTCAAAGTGTATGTAACATTTTGTTCCCATATGTATGAGTTATAAAATGATCTAGATTTAAGGGCACCACCAGAAGTGCTTTATTGTACCATTGCATTCCCTTACATCCCAAATATTTTTGTGCTTAATTTAATATTAATACAAAATTTACCGAGTAGGAAGAATTAGTCTTTGGACGTTCAAGGCTGCGGTGGAGCCTGGATCTGCCTGTAGGCATGTAGCCATGGGCATTTTAACTAATACGTAATTAATATTTTTCTATGGATGATTTATTATAGTTGCCTCTTCATATCATCTCTGAATTGATAGAAAAGTAACATTAATATTCGGGACAATTAGAAATAATTTTCATTGTAAAGTGAAGAAATACATTATAAGCTGCATTCAACCTAACTGAATATTTACAATCTCTTCGTGTTGACGATACTATTTACACAATGGACCTGAGAAAACTCATTGTACCGGTTCGCCTGCTGCTTGCAATAGTTAGGAATTGTAGGAATGTTTTTAATTAAGTTTTGGGTCATTAACCGCATTAAGGAGTAGGTCCTCCAATCAACTCGGATATTCATTAATTCCATTTTTTCACCCTGATTATAGGAACTTCTGGCGTCAGTTCAATCGCAGCAGAATCAGGCATACCATCCTACGATTAGCTGCTTCTACTAAGTTGAATGTGAAGCATGAGTTTGAATACGTTTTTTTGCAATAATCTTATACTATTTTCGTTCATATGAACAGGATACGGGATTCAAAATTGCCAATTTCTCGTACCCAAGATCCAGGATACTTATCGCGTCGGAATATCACCTCGTTTTGAAATTTTATTCGCTACGGAAAAATTATCGAGCATTGCAAAACTGTGGAAAAGGTTTGGATCAAAAATTAAAAACTGATTCCTAAATTTGTAATCATAAATTTACATCACAAGACGCAAAATATATTTTTCGTATCTTGAAAAGTGGTTGGTAGTTTAATACTTTTTATGAAATATTAGAATAAACTGGTCTCTCTTCAATAAGCATATAATTTTTTTATTTGGAAACATGTGGAAGAAAAATTGCCGAGATTACCAAATTATCCGGGTAAGAAGGGCTATTCTGCTATTGTTTTGTTTATAGCCAGTAATATTCTGACGGCATAAGCAAATATTCACAAGAAATTAAGCAACCCAGCAGTTTTTGAAACTGCACACTGAGGGCAGAAGGCCGTCCCTGAAGGTGTAAGATAGTATGGCACTGACGGGGCTTAGGTGAGTATGGCACTGACGAGGGTTAGGTAGAGTAGCACTCACGTTGGTTAGGAGGGCATTGCATTGACGAAGGTTAGGATCGTAGATCCGATGAGGGTTATATAGATTCTTTATATTTTTTATTTTATGACTCGCTGATCTTTTACCGCTTGCCCAACGTTTTTACGAGCATTGAATCTTCTAAATTCTACCCTCAAATCGAATGTGAAATTTTGAACTGCCATCACAAGTGATGTACAAACACGTACATATGATGTACTTGATATGAACGAGTTTCCGTGGCCGATAACGATGCAACGAGGTTTACTAATTTGGCGGTAAACTGGCATGCATTTATAACTGTTACCTATATAATAGTGCTCAAAGTACGATGAACTGCAACAAATGATGCATATTGTCTGTAAACTATATTACTGTTACTTATCAACAGATAATATTAATTTGGTGGCATGCAGCCGGTGTAATAGGTAAAAATGTGACTAACTTGGGAGCATCCACCCTAGACGTTATTGTAGAAGTAATCCTGCATTTCTAATGATCGCATCTTGACTTAGATGTCCATTGAGACTAGCACAGCAGACGCGCAATTGAACCCCTGCACTGCGCAGAGGTTCATCTGCTTAGCCAACAGGTGGGGATGCTCATCAGTGATCACAATATTAGTTAGCAGCAACAATAGCGAGCTGAACGTTGAAGTTTAATCGAGCATTCATCCCCACAATGAACTGGTGGTGGTTGAAACGCCAGATGTGGTGGCACAAATTTTTATAACTCGCGAACAATCTTGGACGCTATTGTGAATGGTATTTCTCATATCAAATAGAACACCTCATTACTGGGAGAAAATGACAGTTCTATTTGAAAAACAATGGTTACAGGTAAGTTTTCCAAGTTTGTTTATTGTTTATTGTTTATTCACAGAGGAGCACACAAAAATATACATAACAAGAGACCATAAAAATTTGAAGAAAAAATACAAATTGCTTCATTGTGAATGCCTATATAAGCTAAAAAGCTTCACAGGCGACATAGGCGAAATTACTCTCAATAGAACAATAACGTAATGAAACTGAGATAAGTCAATAGGAAACAGAAAGTGCCCAAAGTATGAAGATCCTTGTAAATTAACCCTTAATAAAACTGATATGAGAACAAGCAACTTGGCGACTAAAAATGAATAATTTTTCAAAACTAGAACAAGTTATGAACAGATGTTCCTAGAGTATGAGGTATTAAATATAACTCAAAGTGTATGTAACATTTTGTTCCCATATGTATGAGTTATAAAATGATCTAGATTTAAGGGCACCACCAGAAGTGCTTTATTGTACCATTGCATTCCCTTACATCCCAAATATTTTTGTGCTTAATTTAATATTAATACAAAATTTACCGAGTAGGAAGAATTAGTCTTTGGACGTTTAAGGCTACCGCGGAGTCTGGATCTGCCTGTAGGCATGCAGCCATGGGCATTTTAACTAATAAGTAATTAATATTTTTCTATAGATGATTTACTATAGTTGCCTCTTCATATCATCTCTGAATTGATAGAAAAGTAACATTAATATTCGGGACAATTAGAAATAATTTTCATTGTAAAATGAAGAAATACATTATAAGTTGCATTCAACCTAACTGAATATTTACAATCTCTTCGTGTTGACTATACTATTTACACAATGGACCTGAGAAAACTCATTGTACCGGTTCGTTGGTCATTATTATTATCTTAATTGATGGTTTTTTTCTCGCTGAATTGTTGCAATGGGCGTTATATGTCGTGGGCGTTCTTATTAATGGGCGTTGTTGCTGTCGTGCGCCTGAACCTAGAGTTTGGAAACGCCGTGTGGTCACCTAGACTTAGAAAGGACAAAAATTTAATAGAGAATGTTCAAAGACGTGCAGCAAGGATAATTCCAAGCTTGAGGGGCAAGTCCTACGAAGAAAGATTAAAGGTTATGAAGCTTCGAAGCCACGGTTATCGACGTCTGCGTGGTGACCTCAATGAAGTATACAAGTATACCCACGGTTTATACAAGGTCCCGAAAGGATTACTAGAATTTGAACCAACAACAGGGGTCACGGCTATAAACTAAAAAAACTGCGTTAAGGCCGGTCCACACGCTCAGTTTTACACACCGATTTGTCTGCGCAGTCTCAAATCGGAATTAATGAAATCGTTGCAATTATTTGCGCGTTCACACGGTGCCGACTAATCTGTGTAGTTTGCTCAGTATTATGCGACCTCGCCATGGAGGAGGCAGTACTTTAGTCGATTTTGTCATTGTGCCTTGTTAAAAAAAAGACTGGATTATTTAGGAAATACAGGGAATCAAAATAACAGAGATTGCTTGTAGATGTCATCTTCTTCAGCTCCAGATGGGAACGATTTATTAATTTTTTCCCAATTATTCACGGTAAATACTCCTCGAATTATTACATTTTTTACAGCTGTTTCTCTGTTTGCGCTTTCATCGTTTATTTGAATTTTTTTACTAAACTCTCGTATGTTTCTTCTTGCAAGAGGCTACGCTCGAAGGATGCTGCTGGCAACACCTTCAGACCTCTGATGTTGACTGTAAAGGATTCTGCTCAGGTCTAGAGCGTGCTGAAAACATCGAGAAAGCTTAGAGAATCCGCTGATTACAAGTCAGTTTTTGTAAAGAAAGATTCCGCCCCCTTAGAAAGGGCGGTTTTTCGCAAGAAGTGATAGGAGAGAATCAGGCGGAAAGGCACGGAAAATCAGGTCAATCACTTCCAAGCTGCCAAGACAACACCGGCTGCTCACGGACAGTCAGAGGAGATGGAGGACAAGTAATTAGTAGGAATGGTGTCCGTAGATCAAGGCCTGTAAATAATGTAGGAAGTAACCGCATACATCAAAGTGAAAGTNCACACAGCAGCCTGATTAGAACTGCATGGGCGTGCCAGTGTTCATGGCCGGTCGCTTGACGACAGCTCTCGTACTTTTAACATGAAGTTTCATAAAACCGGTGTCTGTAAATTCTCGTATCTTGTACGTGCAGTAACTACTATACAATTACCTTGTAGATAAGAGAAGCGCGCACTGGAGCCAAAATGCTTTCGAAAATATTCTCGTTCTCCATTTTGGTTGTTCACAATTCTTGATCTGCCCGTCATTTAATAAATTTCTCAGCAATGACATTGATTATTAATCTGTGTCGAGGAAAGTCGCTAAGGCTATGGAAAAGCCACCATTTTCAATCGTTATTGTATTGACATTTAATTATTAATTTAATTTAATTAGACAACCGTCTAATTAAATTATTCGTCTCAAACATGCTCACGGTGTATGACCTCAACTGTCAGGAAAACAAATAAGGATGCAAAAGACACATGTATCGCTATACTACATACTGCATATATACATACTGCTGTCTCTTATACACATCTAGATGTGTATAAGAGACAGGTCCTATGAAGAAAGATTGAAGATTATGAAACTTCCAAGCCTCAGTTATCGACGTCTACGTGGGGACCTCATTGAAGTATACAAGTATACTCATGGTTTATACAAGGTCCCAGAAGGCTTGTGGGGACCTCATTGAAGTATACAAGTATACTCATGGTTTATACAAGGTCCCCGAAAGATTACTAGTATTTGAAACAAGAACCAACATCAGGGGCCACGGCTATAAACTAAAAAACTGCGCTGCAACTTCTCAACGCGACA